GTGTTAAAAGCAAACTAAATAGTGATACAAATCACGTGTTGTTGTGTTTATTATGCAATAAATTGTGAAAAACCGTAACTCTATTGACATTACAGTGTATTTTGTAACCATAGGTGGAGTTTCCATGTTATGCACCGTTCACGACATATCAGAGGGGGTGGGAGTCCATTGAAATATACTTGTTTTGAGTCAATGAATGATGCATTTATTATTACCACCACAAATCTAGTTATTGATATTTTTGTAACAAATAACGTTATGGACAAAAAAAGTTTTATAAAGTTTTAATACTTTTTATATCAATAACAAAATATTAAATTATTTATTTGTATATTTAATTTATAAAATTATTGATTTATATAAAGTAAATAAAACTATTTGAATATTCGTAAAGACCTTGTATATAATATTTTTAAAATAAATTTTGTACATTAAAACTTTGTTTTAAAAACTTGTTATCAATAAAACTTTCCAGTGTTATGTTAACTAAAACAGCCTGGGCACTGTTGGCACTCCGATTATTGTCCTAATATTGGGACACTTTTCGAGTCTATCGAGAGTTGACTGTTTGTAGTCCACTCCCTGTCCCGTCCAGTCCAGCCTAACGTGTCGTATATATTTAAGTTTAGACAATGAATTCAATTGACTGTCCGTTATATCGGTGTGAGTGATGAATAGGTTTTGAAGTTTTGGGTGATTCTCAGCAAAGTTTGCCCAAAACGTGTCCGTAATGTACGACCGCTTACTACCGGAAAACATCTTTAAATGGGTTAACCGTTTGCAGCGACTTAATGGGTCGGAAGTCAATGAATTTTCCTGTGAATTGAATGTCGTTTCAAAATGCCTTAATTGCGTAAAGTTTTCATTGACCACACGTAGCAAGTCGTGCATAAACTCATCCATCCATGTATGGGGTCTGCGAACGGCTAGCCTCTTGAGTTTCGCACATTTGGTACCAATTTGTGGTAAATTCATGATAAATATGTGTCTAATTGTGTGGAAATTATTAGGCAAATAAAACTGCAAATCAATTAATGCTCGCATTTTCGCTAAACCACTCATTAGTACCACAATTGACTTATCATCGCAACTATGATTAACGACCACTTGAATTGATTTCAAACTATTTCTATAACTTTTGACAAACAATTCAAATTGACTGCAGTGTTCGGCATCGTATTCAAAATATAGTTTTTGTAGCCTGGTAAATAACACATCATTTTGACGGCACAGTAGTCTGGGGAACTGGTGTTTATAGCAATTAAACACTTCGCGCAACTCATGGCAGTCGAGAATATTCTTCTCAATTGTGGCCGAAATTTCTGAATTTCCCGGAAGTGATGGCTCGTACGACCAGTACTTGAATCTAATCAACTGTTTGGCAAACTTCGCGAAAAACTTGTCAATTGTGTCGGCGCTAATCGTCACATATATCGGTATTTTCATATCCATGGCATTCAAACGGTGACAGTATTTGATGACTAACTCCAGCATTGGTTGCGTTATAATCGTCAACACATTGCCGCCAATTGTCTCAATGTTGGCACACTTTTTCAGTATCGACTCAAATATCGTAGGATTTTTCCTGAAGATTGTGATGTACGAGAAATCTGTTGTCAAGTCTTTCTGACTCTCGAGTGCCAACCGTTGCCATCGTTTGGACAGACACTCGCATCGGAAGCGGTCCTCAAACGAGAAGTAACTCAATAGGAGTCCACACAAGTCGTCGCCAAATCTGTCGATATTGTCTTTGCCATACATTTCGGACATTATTTTTATGCTAATATTAATCGCAAACACAATTCAAGTCTATTTTCGAAGTGATCTCAGAGTTAGTGATTAGACTTAATACTGTTATGAATAAATAACAGACAAATCATATGAATAAATAGTTATTTACCAATGGGGATTTCTTAATGGTAATTTATTCTAGTTACTATACAGCTATTAATAGTGACTATGTAGTAATTAATCTCACAGCACTATCATTTGTCAACATTATTATCATTATCATTGTCATATTGTATTATGGTACAGACAAAACAAAGTGAATATTGAAAAATAATAGGAAAATATTTTTCTAAATTTACACAAAAAATAAGCAAACCTGTTTGTGTTGTATTTTCATCATAATATTATTGCATTAACGTTGCGAGATTGTTATGCAATTTAGCGCATGTTCACTAATATATTACATAACATTGCATAACTAAGTTTGAATTGTCATAAATGCGGGAACAAACAAGTTCAATTTACAATATGAGATACATGTATTTTCAGACTTTCTATATAATATATTAATATATTATATTATAAAAACATTTAAAAACTCATTAATACACCTAAAGTTTTTATTTGAAAAAACGTTTTGTGTTTAGATTTTTGAAAACATTTGAGATTTATTCAATTGTATTTTAAAAAGGATTACATTTTAGATGAGAAATAGGTAGTGAACTCGTAGTCCACTACTCAATGCAATGTCCAGTAGTTTTGAATACAATAGCTTTTATAGCAAATAGTGATCCATATATGGGTCAATACTTAAGCCAGTGTTTAAGTGAAAGTTTATCACATTTATGGCTATTTTTAAATACAATTTCAGTATTGAAAGCAATTTCTATTGAAATTGAGTTTAAAATAAAAATAATTAAATTAAAAATAAATTAAAAATAGGTTTAAACAAAATAATTCTCGGAATACTTTACATACAGTATTTATTTTTGATTGAATAAAATATATAATAAAAATAAAAACTCGTTAAATAAAAAGTTATACAAGTATGTATTAAAATATATACATGTTATACCAAATAAATCTAATAAATTTATTTATATGAACACAATTGCTTAAACATTTTTATTTTCTATAACATTTGCGAAATCTAAACAATTGTTTAAATCTAATCAGGATAAATTGAAAGTTAACCTTCACTTTCAGCAGAATATAGGCCAGAATTGTGTAGAGACAGCACTGGGTTAACAGTAACTGCCAGCCCTTATCAAAGTCCCTGTCCGTCAGACTGAGTTCATATAATACGGATGAGATTTGTGTGGATTGCGAGCACCGGTCGAAACCATAGAAGTAAATGATGAGATACTGGTACACGAGTTTGAATGGCATTAAATCAGTCAGGTCAGTTATAAATGGTGCAAATCCTTGTATAGGAATCCACGCGTTGTGTGTTAACTGTAGCATCAGGTACATGAACATGGATGCAAAAATGGCATATTTTGCGAAGCAAATGCCTAATATATAGCCAATTGATTGTAGAGATAGTGAGCCGATAGATAATATAAAAATAGTGGCGTATATGAAGGTGTCCCTGTTGTAGACATCCCATATAAACGCCATGCATAATACAGATATGAAACATGGTACAAAATTCAGAATAAGCTTGACCACAAAGTATGATTCCACACTATACCAGGCTATTTTTATGAATAGATTAGATATTATTGAGTGAACAAACAATACATATAATTGTAAATTACTTACAATTCTTGAATTCATTTGCAAACAGTTTGGCGTCCGTTGTATACGATAGACAACTAGTGATGAGTTGTATTGTCAGAAACAAATCCATTAAAAATTGTAGATAAGCTTTGTTATATATCATTAGCTTTTTAGCTAGCATAAATTCATTATTTGGGATACAAGTGCTGGTGTCCACTGTAGAGACACAACCGTCCGGGCCGTTTATAGCGTAGTTAAACATTGATTTAAATATTAATAGGACTGATATCGTGAGAAACCATTGAATATAAAGTGATTTCCAATTGTATTTCATAGTGACAGTCAATGATCTCATCAATAGGTACCACAACTCAAGTAATGAAAAGTTTTTGCTTTTAATGGGTACACCATTGCCAGAGATACTGAGTTCACTGAATATTTTGTTGTAATAACCGCTGATGACTTGGTTTGTCTTTTCTGACAATTCAATCGCATTCTCATCATTGGCTCCATTTGCAGATAATTTCATCAGTATTTCGATTGGGATTTGATTTTTATTGCAATAAATATTGCATTCATTTAAGTGTGATCTCAGATGCTGTGGTCGACCCGAGTAGACATTGAGCCTTCCCTTCGCTAAGACATACAACATATCAAATAATATAAGGATTTCCACGTTTGGTTGGTGTACGGATGCAATGATCGATAGGTTGTGTCTCTGGGACAGCCTTTTGTAGCACTTGATTAGCTATTTGTGAAAAAATACTTTATTAAAAATTGTTTTAAAGAATATTCTGTAAGATATACCAAAAGTGCAGAATAGGAGTCAACACAACTCGTGGGTTCGTCAATACAAATAAGGTTTGGTTTCAATTGTGCCGTCAATTCCTGAGCCATAACTACTCGCTTCTGTTGACCGGAACTACACTTTTCCGCATTTTTGGACGATATGTCCGTTAATGATAACTCTGACATCAACTCCCGTACTATCACCTCGTGGTCCACACCTCTAATGCATCTATTTTTCAGTTTTGAGGCATAACTAAGTGCTTGTCTAACTGTCAACCCTTATATTAGGTGTTCCTTATAGTCTTGTGATATAAAACAACCCCTAATTCTTGTGTTATTATTTAAATATATCTTTGATTTATTTGTTATTAAATTCTTATTCTTTCCGTTCAATGCTTTCAACAGAGATGTCTTTCCGGCACCGGACGGACCTAACAGTGCCGTCATTGTCCCGAAACTCGTGAAACCATTAATGTCTCTAAGAATTCATTTTTCTGATGAAAAGAAAGTTTTATTCACTTTTAGTGTTAAGTCAATCCATGCCACACACAACTGTCCCGTAATTATAGCATCCGTTTCTGGACTCAATCCTTCATCAAGTACTTCATCGTTGAGACTTTTTCTGATGAAAAGAAAGTTTTATTCACTTTTAGTGTTAAGTCAATCCATGCCACACACAACTGTCCCGTAATTATAACATCCGTTTCTGGACTCAATCCTTCATCAAATACTTCATCGTTGAGACTAATGTCGTAATCAATGTTATCATAACATATATAACTTGAACATCCGGTCAACTCATCCATTGTTTGCATTTCAAGCACATTATGATTGATCTGTTTATCCGTTTTTCGCTCACATATTAACAATTTTGTGTAATTCATTGCAATGTAAAATACATTTGGATTGTTAATAACTAGTAATGTTATTATTGACACCAATTTATATGATATATATCATAGTTCCTGAACTTTAAAAGATTAAGCTTGTAAAATTTCTCATATAGCCTAGGTATTATTTGCTAATTAAATTAGCTAAATGCATAATATAAAAATTGATAATTAATTAAATGTCATTTCATTTACGAATGACTCACGATTAAAGGATAAAACGTTAAACAAACGTATTATCAGTAAAAGTGTCGTTTGGTTTGGGTTTTAAATAATTTTTATGAAATATTTTTATTTAATTCAAAACCAATTGATTGTCTAATACTGTACTACCAGTGCTCCGACCGGCGCCGGCGACAACTCTTTTAGAGCACCGGTATGTTAGCACAGGTAGGTTATCTGTACAGCAAAAAAACTACAAGTCGCAGAAATACGAATAGCACATCGTTGGAAAGAGCATAAAAAATAATCAAACCCGTCTATCGGGATTTCCCTGGTAATTGTCACAATATGAGATAGGGAGCACCGGTAAATAAGATTTTTGAAACAATTCTTTTAAATCCATAAAATGATCAATCCAACGAAAACTGCTTAAAATGTAAATAAAATTTCAATTTTGAATTTTTAAAATGTCACTAAATGAATGTGCTAGGGCATTTTAAAAATTTGACCATTTTTTGCCGAATCTGTAAAACACTTAAAGTTTGATGTGTTCTAGATCCGTTATTTCTCAAGATATCTTAAAGGTGTAAAATTCAAATCATATTTATATTTTGAGGATAATTTGATGATCCAGTCAAAACTTTTATTTATTTTCCCTAAGTTTATTTTATTCAAAATAATAAACTACCATGCCACGCTATTTCTTATGGAAACATTTACCAGGGAAATCCCGATAGACGGGTTTGATTATTTTTTATTCTCTTTCCAACGATGTGCTATTCGCCGTTCTGTGATTTTTAATTTTTGCTGTACAGATAACCTACCTGTGCCGACATACCGGTGCTCAAAATGAGTTGTCTCTTCAGGTGAATACATAATAGCAAAAACCATAGTTGGGGTTCAAAAATAATTGCCATAATTGCCATCATTTCGCCAAACTTTGCGCAACCATTCAATCCGTTCAACACTTGTGTCTCATTTGCCGTAAATCCGGTCCTAATCTTCAGCGACAAATCAATCCATGCTATGGCTGTCCTCCCATTTGTGTCCATCGTGTCCAACATTATGTGTTTTAAAAGCTAACCATTTCTACGTTTATTATACAAATTATTTATACCCTTATGGCTAATAAATATTAATTAACGCCTAATTAAGATTGAAATTTAATTTATTATATAAATGTTTAAGTAATGTCATTCAATTAGCTTATAAAGTTAAACTAATTTAATTAATATTTAATTTAGTTTAAAAATTTTTATTATCAGGGTCACCGATGTCTTAAAATAGGGTCGGGTCGGGCTTCCCTATAAAAAACACTAAGGGTTTAGATTTGAAAAATTGGTCTAACTTTGGACTATAATAAGAAGTACTCGTGAGTTACTCGTAATAAATATGTTTATTAAGTATAATGCTATCAAACAATACAATTATTTCAGATATTCTTGCAATTCATTTGTAATCAAATTG